TAAATCACTCTTCCTACAAAAAGCACACCTCATAAAATATTTTTTCCAAAAGCACATCTCACAAAATGACAACTCTCAAAAAAATTCTTCTCACAAAAATTGATTTCACAAAAAATCTCACAAAAACCACAACTCTCACAAACACCACAATTCTCACAAGAAATATAACCTCAACTCTCAAGAATTACTCTAAAAAAACACAATAAAACAAGCACATCTCCAAAAATATCTCACAAAATACATATCTTACAAAAACACATCTCGCACATAAAAATATTTCTCGAGGAAACGTTTTTCAAAATAAGACATCTAACAAAAAAGCACATATCACAAAATCACAACTCTCTAAAACACTCTTCTCACAAAAACCATATCACACAAAATCACATATCTCAAATATAACACACACATATCTCAAATATAACACACATCTCCCAAATATAGCAAGCATCTCTCAAATATAACTCACATCTATCAAATATAACACACATCTCCCAAATATATCACGCATCTCTCAAATATAACTCACATCTATCATATATTACACACATCTCCCAAATATAACACACAGCTCACAAAAAAAACAACTCTTATAAAAGGAACACAACTCACAAAAAGCACTTCTCACACATAATATATGAGAAAAAATAACTTCCCACAAAAAGCACATCTCAAAAAAAAATATCTCACAAAAACATATATTTCTCACAGGTAATACAACTCTCACCAAAGCCACATCTCAAAACCATATATCAGAAAACATAATTCTCAAAATCACTCCTATCATGAAAATATCTTCTCACACAACACATATGATAAATTACACATTAAAACTAATAATTATACAATTAGAAAGCTACCAAACTTTTTCTGTAACTATTTTTTTTTTAACTTTTTCTGTAAAAAACTTTTTCCGATTCAAACATTCCAAATTTGTATGTAACAAACTTTTTTATAAGAAACATTCAAAACTTGTTTTAACTAACATTTTTGTAGAAAAAGTTGTACTGTACTTTGTGAGATAAATCTTTATAACTTAAATGTCAAATAGTTTTCTGTAGAACAAAAGCATCAGTTTCTACAACTTTAAACGTCATTTTCTCTAAACAAACTTTAAACTGTAGCCATCTCATTCTTCACACACGACCTCATCTTCCACGAAGTTACACATTTTTGGGGTAAAATCTAAATCAGATACCTGTCTTAATATGACAGTGTCAGACCACGGAGGAAGAATTGAAACAGGAATTTCCTTAAGAACTTTCGTATTTAATAATATATTTTTAGAAGGGTCTTAAGGAATCATAATGCGATATATTCAGTGTAGTTCAATGCCGACCAAACTTTTTTTGACTAGTTGTATATGAAAAGGGCTGCAGTTGTTTCAAGTATCAGTATTGCAGCCTAAATAGCAAGGGAGATTTTTTTTCAACGAATTTGACACATTTTCAAATCGAAACTACAACCACAAGTTTCGAATTAAATAAATTCTATGACACTTTTCTATCACATTAGCATATAATAAAAGGATCTGTCTAAGCGGATTTTTTAAAATATGCTTAGTTTTACTAATACAAATAGTCAAAGTTCCATAAAAAAATATGCAAATATATCATGGTTTATTACTATTATAAAATAAAAATATGAACATAGGAAAGAAAGCTTGAAACATATTTGTAGAAACATAAACTCTACATATAAGGTATAAGTTTCATGTAAATTTAATAAAAAATGACAAAGTTATAGGAACTTTTATGTTACTTGAAAATAAATAAGTAAAAAATAAGGAATAAGGTGCTGCCATCTGTGGCTGAAGTTGACATCAACCAATTTGCTCCAAAACTAGCACCCTTACAGATAGGCTTACGTGCAGGAAGCTGTATAAGTTTCATGGAAATAATCCGATAAACAAATAATAAAAAATGTAAAAACAAAAAATCATTTTTTTTAACTAAATTTTTTTTAGTGTAAAACTAATTATTAAATATTTTTATTATATGCTATTGTGATACCTGAATGTCATAGACATGATTTCAGTTGACACTTGAGTTTGATGTTAATTTCTTACCATTTTGGAAGTTTCTGACACAATTCAATATTTTTTTCTCCCTTCCTATTTATACTACGATGATGAGACTTGAACCAGATGAAACCCTTTTTTATATACAACTCGTTGAAAAAGTTTGAATGAAATCGAACTAGTTTTCATTTATTGTATATTTTTGCATTATGCCGCCTTAATATGTTTACGTCCCTGAATCAAATAAAATTACTTTGCAGGTTTCGTGTGCACTTATTCTCTTAGCGCAAATATGAGTTAAGCAATAGGTTTCAACTTTAAACTTTTATCTTTCTCAAGTTCTCAGTACGTATTTCGTTTTATATTCATCGTAGTTTTAATAATAAAGTTACCAAACAGTAAGACATCAATTCCACATTCAATATATTGTCTATGGAAACACACATATTTGCACTTGCTCCAGAAGGTGTTGATCCAATATCAGACCATGATATTGGATCAACAAAGAATTATTTTAGATGTTAGGTTTCCAACACATAAGGTTTCCAAAGCATGGTAAGTTTATTCTTTACAGTATATCCTTGCAAACTTTACGTGTATTTTCACCAGTTCCAGAAGGCATGGATGTTTCCAATAACATTCCGTACTAACAAAAGTTCATTTAGTTGTACAGTTTCTGACATCTGGATCTTGTGCCAGTCAATCTCTGTAATATCATACCAAACTTTCCTAACTTTCCACATAAGCCAGGTTATGGTATATTGTTAAAGTACGAAAATTAGAGCTAGAAAATTTCACCAATGTCTATATTTTACATACGTTATTAGACCTTCCGGTTCAAACCTGCCGAAAAGCACAGCAGATATTCTGAAAAAAATATCTAGTTTGTCTCTAATTTGCAAGATAATATTCATTTCAGATATTATCTCAAATTTTTTCTCTCAAATTTCAGAAAGCACCATATTTTCCTTGTAATTATTATAAAAAAATAGACATTCCCTCTGAATCATCAAAACTATCGCCTCCAATTTAACCTGTCTCCCATTATGCGTTTAGATTTGCCTTTTCCTAATAGGTCATCCATTTATGTGTCCCCCACTCAAACCTTTGTGCTATGAAAATTTTTTTTTTTATTTGGGAAGTCTGCAGTTTACATCCTGCTGATATTTCCTACCAATAGATTTTAGCTATTTTTGTATTTTTCCATTGCACACTGTTAATTGAAAGTGATCTCCAATTTTATGAAGAACAATGACCTTCGTATGCAGAATCAACAAATTTAGAGCAAGAAGATTTATTTATTTTACATTTATTTAACCATTATGGCAACATTGTGGACGCATTACAACTAAATCAAAATGCAGATGTGGAGTACACAGACTTTGCAAAGACATTTGATAAATGTGACCAGGAGTGATAGCCTATAAAAATTAAATTCATAGGAATTAAAAGAAAAGTAGGACGATGGATATTCAATTTCCTGTTAAACAGAATGCAACGAGTGACAGTCAATTAAACAAAATCATGCCTTGCAAAGTGAAAAGCTCTGTACCTCAGGGCATAATCCTTGTTCCACTGCTATTTCTTATTCTCATATCAGACAGACAAAAATACAAATCACAGTATTGTGCCATTTTTTGCAGATTACAAAAATCAGCATGCAAATTACTTCTGTAGAAGACATTGAATAAGACATTAATAAAATTTTCGATTGGGTAGCACAAAATATAAAGATGTTTAACATTCCAGGTTCTTAGGTATGTTCTTAACCAAATATGCTTAACCAAGCCAAACTTAACTTAACCATGCTTGATCACATATGGTGTCAACAGGAAAAATGATTGGAGGGACTATGAGAAACTTAGTCCAGGATTACCAACATAATGCTCATATTATTAAAATGCATTATGCTGTCTTGCCATGAGTATTGCACGATACTCATTTATCAATTCAGAGCAGGAGATATTTATGAAATAGAGGATAAATAGAACAAATATATATGGCGCAAATAGACATGATAAAGCACCTCAATTATAGGAACTGTTTTAAAGTGATCAAAATTTACTTTCTGGATAGGACACAAGTGAGGTATCATATGGAAAATACTGAAATCCAAAGTCCCAAATTTACACAATAATAAAGCACCATACTGGAGCAAACGATATTGTAGAAAATCTTGAATACAGCCAATAAACATTATACGTGCCATAAGCACAATCAGTGAACATTGAATTACCATCAAAGGTCCACGACTATTCAGTATCCTACTAGCCTGGTTAGGAAATAATGCTGGAACAAAATTGTACTTCAATAAAAAATAAATAATTTCCTGAAAGAAGTTCTGGACAACTGGCTTGTAGTAGAAATGTGGGTCTACAAGCCACTCCAACCAACAGTCTGTTAGATCAGTGTCTCACCAGTCAAACCTGGCCCCAAGCCGGGCTTCAGGAGTACGAGAACTCACTGAACCCCTTCCAAGTACCTAACTGTCGAAGCCATAAATTTCTGAACAGTGATCCAGTTTAAATAACAAATGGAAATTATCTTCAAGAAGAAAATCAAATTAAAGACGTTATTCATAAATGGTTGGACATTTGTAATAAGGGAAGTTTACAAAAAAAAAATGCAATGTAATAATTACTTGAATCAAAATAACAGCATATTACTTAAACAGTGACATTATCAAAACCAAAAGCTTAATCTGTAATAAGTTATAAAAATCTTTTCAATACTGGCTGTACAAAACAGGTGTATAGCAACGTAAATAAAATTTAAATTTTAGGCATAAAGTTTGAGACATTTAGTTAAGAAAATGAAACCTTTTACTGTCTACCAGCTCCTTATTACATGATAAATCATTCTTTTTGATAAACATGTAACCACAAGTTTAATGTATATATCATGCCTTTTGGGTAACATTTCAAGTAAGTAAGATTTGGTAATATATAAATAAATATTAAATTGGTGATTTTTTCTTCAGAAAAGCGGGAAACCGAAACTCTTCATGCAATTAAGGCAGTAATGGAAACAGGATCAGACCCTCGATGCTCCGTTTTCTGTGTTGCTGATGGTCACCCTGATTCTTCCTTTGTCTTGAGGGTACGCAATAATACTAAGTCATAATCTTCTGTTGTTGTAAAAAAGGTATAAAATTATTATATTTCAATCCTATTGAAACTAATTATTTTTACAGGATTTTATGAAATCCTGGGCTTCCGGTGGTGTGTCCTTGTTCGAGGTGCCAGTGGATGGCTTGGACCCTAACATGACACAGATTCAGTTCTCTCTGGTGGTCTACAAGGCTCGACAGGTGTGTTACTCCCACATTTTTGTTAACATGGATACGTTACTCCTACGTGTCTACTGGTGTATTGCGTATGTGCGTAGATCACTCTCACATTAACTGACGCACGTAGGTCACTCTCACATTAACTGACGCACGTAGGTCACTCTCACATTAATGCTGACGCACGTAGGTCACTCTCACATTAACTGACGCACGTAGGTCACTCTCACATTAACTGACGCACGTAGGTCACTCTCAAATTACCGCTTGTAGTAGTCAGTTAGTCTCACATTACAGCTGATGCAGGGTAGAAACTCTCACTTATATTTGTAGTGTTTCGTGGTGTTGTGGCTGATGGCAGGCGTAAAACCATTATTTGGTTGTCTTTCAATGATACTTGCTCTGGTACATGACTAGTGAACTAAGCATAGTGGGCGTCCTGCTCTTCCTGTTTACATAGTGCATGAAATGCAGTGATGAATTCATTTTGACGTCTTTCTGAACATGACAATACTTTCCTATTCTATGGAAAGAATGAATTCAGGATGACCAGCATGCTTGTTACACAAAACAAGATAAACTGTTGACAAATTGTAAGCAATGACACATAATAATCTACTGGCATATAATAATAATAATAATAATAATAATAATAATAATAATAATAATAATAATAATAATAATAATAATAATAATAATAATAATTTATTTAGGAATATTACATACATAGTTGCAGAGTTACAGTACAAACATTCTGTTTGATTTAAAGAAAGAGGTAGTTCATACAATACCTAAAGCCACTAGTACGCATAGCGTTTCGGGCAATGCTGTATATGATGTGTTATTGACATATAGTATACTTTTCGATGTAATTCTTTTCATTCATTAATGACACATTCAATAATAATGTTATATTGTTTATAACACACGAGTAATCAGTAAAGCGCCCCTACGTTTCCAATTACATTTCGGACGCATTTTTAGATATAAAAACATTATTTGATGGATTACAATCTGTATATAGGTCTTGCTGCTGTTGATATAGATTCTGTTACTAGGGAGTAAAACCCCCGTTCACCAGGGGCTATAGTGAACCCGTAATATATATATTATGAAATATTCCCAGATATATATAGATATTTCCCCCGTCCCCGTCTAATCGGTTTCTCCTTGAGAAGTAATATGAATCTTATAATCTTTTATTCTGCTGACTGTTTCCTATTTTTAACATTCATCCCCGTTTTGGTTAGTGCATTATTATCTTGTGTTTCTGTGCACACATGACCACTTAACTCATATGATTGTTCTTGACACTACTGCTATTTGTGTATTGTTACGGTGCCCTCTCCTATTTCTTTCGTTTGCCGGCTTAAAGAGTCATATCAGCTCTCCCTACTGATTCTCTGAGGTTCAGGGAGTCTAATGATATATGTGGCGACCAGACCGGCTGCCAGTTAAGGGAGAAAGTTATATTATAAGTTGTAAATAAAGGAAAATTGGCGCCCTGTTATAAAATGAAACAGTATCCCCTACGGCAGATATGACCTTTTGGAAGGGACACTAGCCGATCGCGGATTGGCCGACGTAGGTCGCGGGCGACAAATCAGGGCCCGCCATGACGTCACCGAGTGCCCCGGGCGGCGCCAACGTCAGAGTTGTACTGACCGTGGAAGCGACAGGACGCGCCTCGGTCTGCTCTCAAGGATTGGAGGCTCTGCAAGCCTTGTTCAGTGGATTGAGCTGGCCTTCGCTGCCCCTCACAGTCATTGGAGACCCTGCGCTTCTGGGAAGCCAAAGAGGAACCAAGTTCAGTGAGCAGAGAAGTGCCAAACTTGGAAAATAGTCGGCGACGACGCTGGGCGGCGCCGCTGGCTGGACGTTGGAAAGGTGGGCGAGCAAGCTAGCTGTGACTGGGGTCACATCCACTGAGAATCTTGGAAGGACGACACAGTGCCTAGGACAAGGAGCGACGCCCTGTGGGAGAGGCGAGTGTGGGGAAAATAGTGATTAGCTCAGCGCCCATCGATGAACCAGGATTGGGGCAGCTGAATCTCAGGGATTGGAACGGCGACGACGCGAAGGCTTCACGACACCTGAGGACCTGTGGAACGCCCTGGATCGTCGAGGATCGACCCAAGGAAGCGTGGGAACCTCACACCATCGAGGGACAGGCGTCGTGAGCCAGGAGTGTAAGGTAGATCATTTTCCCTCCCATTACCCCTTGTATGAGTAGGCTAGTTAGGCCACAATATTTACTCGTGTATGTGGCAGCAAGACTTTATTACTTTAATAGTAGAATAGGCTGCAAGGCAGCTTGTGTCCAGGACTGTCAGAGAGGACAGTGTGTATGGATGGCAGGACAGTGAAGAAGAGGTGCCGACGTGGTGAAGAGGCCCTCCTGTGAGAGTGTGAGACTCCTGTCTTCCTGCCCAGTTGAAGGAGAGTTGGAGGTCGTGGAAGAAGAGGCTGACGATCTCCAGACTCATTATCCATATTCCATATTCATGTATTACTTGTGATTGTGTGTGTGTGTTCATGTAATTTGCGTCAGTAAATCCACACATTTTATTACTGTGTTTGAGTGTGCCTCCATTTGTGATTTTCTCTATGAGCATACATTTCTGGCTACAAACGATATATGATACACCCACTGAACTGCATTGCTGGGGTGCAGATATAATAACCCAGCTGGCGACCTTGCTAAGAGGAAGATAGAGAAGACAGGCGGGAAAGGAGTTCCTGCAACCTTTTTTTTGTCTGGCAGGCAAGACTCAGGGAGGTTATGGTTATAGGTAAGCCTGAGTCTTCCTTCACTCCCCCACGGGTCTAGGCCGGAACTGTTAACAGCAGTTTCCCCGTGGTTGACTGAAGGGCTTCCAGGGTGAATCAGTGGCACCCCTTTGTGGTGGAAGCAAAGACCTGCGGAGGTGGGCATTGTTGGTCCTATCTTGTGTGACCAAGGAGACTCCGGTGAATCCAGGGAGTCGGAGGGGCTGAGTATTTGGGCCCTTTGAGCCCCTAGCAGCCGAGTGTTAGCAGAGCCCCGGACCGCCCACCCCCACGTGACAAGAGAACTGGCGACCTCGCCAGGATTCGAACCCCGGTAGCCAAGAACTGGGAACTTCGCCAGGAAGCGTGGATCAAGCTACAGTGTGGACCAAATTTCAAGACAAGTGTTGCCAGGGTACTAATACAGTGTGGCCAGTGAATTCAGTGGTACTGTTACTCAACCAGCTAAGGGACTGAAACGGTGAAATTAGTGCCTACTAACTTGTCTGTGCTGTCGTGTATGCTCAATGATATAGAGATGGAGGAAGACAAAGTAAAGAAATTTATTGACACAAGGGACGAGAGAATTTTGGAAGAGTGTACCAAGGCCCAGCTCCAACAAGTGGCAAACCACTTTGGGATCAGGTTGAGGACGACTAAGGTAGCAGAGCGAAGGATAGAGATCATGGCACAGCTCACAGCTCGAGAGGAAGCGACGGGAGAGGAGCCATCTCAAGAGGAGCCGTCCCGAGGAGAGCCGTCGCAAGGTGAACCGTCCCGACTAGGGCCACCCCAAGCGCCTACCAGTGTGGAGAGAATTCACAGTGAACATGGGAGCAGTGGAAGGTCCAGCTGTAGTAAGAGGAGCCTGCAACTGGAAATAATGAAGATGCAACTGGAAGCCCAGCTGCGACGAGAGGAGAGAGAAGCGCAAATGCAGCGAGAGGAACGTGCGGCTGAGCTGCAGCGAGAGGAACGTGCAGCTGAGCTGCAGCGAGAGGAACGTGCGTGAGCTGCAGCGAGAGGAACGTGCTGAGCTGCAGCGAGAGGAACGTGCGGCTGAGCTGCAGCGAGAGGAACGTGCGGCTGAGCTGCAGCGAGAGGAACGTGCGGCTGAGCTGCAGCGAGAGGAGCGAGAAGCTCGGCTGCAGCGGGAAGAAGGAGAGAGACAACTGCGACTGGAGGAGATAAGGGCAAAGAAAGAAGTCGAATTGCGTCGCGTTGAACGTGGTCTGCCCTCACTACCTGCACGGCGGGATGACCTCAAGGTAAGGGAACGTGACTTACCTACGTTCGAACCACAAGAAGCTGAGGCGTTCTTCGAACACTTTGAACGGATAGCAACTCTGAAGGAGTGGCCGGAAGATGATTGGGCTGCTCTGGTCCAGGGCAGGTTGACTGGTGAGGCCCGGGAAGCCTATAACATGCTGGACCTAGAGGAGTGTACTAGTTATGACGCGATTAAGAATGCGGTTCTCCACTCATTCCGGCTGACTCCGGAGATGTACCGGAAGCGGTTCAGAGAGTGTACAAGAGCGTCGGGAAAGACTTACGCCGAGACCGCCAGGGATATGGAACGGAAATTCCTACGATGGTTGAAGGTGGAGGAAGCGGAGTCGGTGGATGATATCAAACGACTGATAGTGATGGAGAAGTTTATGTCAGTGCTCCATCCTGAGTTGCGAGTAAGGTTGAGAGAAGCAGGTATTAAGGACCTGAAGGCTGCAGCGGACCGAGCCGACATGCTGGAGGAGGCACTACATCTCAGGAGGGAGGGGCCGCCCAGACACTCGCCTTACCCCAGGTCGGGAGGGAACCTTAGGAGTTCAGGAGGAGCGAGGATGGGTGGGGACTCTCCCAAGAGTAGTGTACCCAATGAGGTAACCCAGTTCAAGAGCTCAAGGGACGCGGGGAGGAAGCCCCAACCTGTGAGCAGTGGACCTAGCTCAGGAGCGAGTGCTGCTGCCCGGGAACCGACGACAGAGAGTCCTAGGAGGACTCAGGGAACCTCTACCATTGGTGCTACCAGGAGAACTGGTAGAGGATCACCTAGGAGAGGCGGTCGGTGTTACAACTGTGGGGGACGAGGACACCTTGCAAGGGAGTGCGGTCGCCCCAGGCAAGGTGGAAACGTGGCTTTCGCGAGGATGGAAAGCGGAGAAGCCAACGATTACTCAGGTGATATGCCGGTGATGAGGGAGAAGAGGATCCACCCCTTTGTGTGTGAGGGGACGGTGAAGATAAGGGGAGCTGAT